AAGATCTTCCTTTATTGGTCCTTTTGGTCAGGTGCAACCAGGTTATTTGAGCTTTTAACCCCTTACGGGAAAAGGAGGGATTTAATGCTACCCTTAGCTGTATGTTTATGACAGATCCACTCACTGGACCGCTGCTGGCAGGAGCACTCACTGCCTGATGCTGTCTCCCCATCAGCCAGCCCCACCTCCTGCCAGACCTGAGTGGCAAATTTTGATATTTTTCCTAGCACACAGCTGGGCTGCCACTGTGTGCTAATTGGGCCGCATGGGGCTGCGGGTTGAGAACCAGGCCACAATACAGTAACCGCTTCCTCCTCCCCAGAGGCAGAGATAGCCCCTATGCTCCTGCCCCACCAGCACCATGGGAACCTGCTTACAAGTGGATGAGATTACAGTGGATGAGAAGCTGGATATGAGTCAGCAGTATGCCCTTGTTGCCAAGAAGGCAAACGGCATATTGGGCTGCATTAGTAGGAGCATTGCCAACGGATCGAGGGAAGGGATTATTTCCCTCTATCTGGCACTGGTGAGGCCACATCTGGTTTTGGGCCCCCCACTACAGAAGGGATGTGGACAATTTTTTGAGAGTCCAGTGGAGGGCAACAAAAATGATTAGGGGGCTGGGACACATGACTTCTGAGGAGAGGCTGAGGGAACTGGGGTTATTTAGTCTGCAGAAGAGAAGAGTGAGGGGGGATTTGATAGCTGCTTTCAGCTACCTGAAGGGGGGTTCCAAAGAGGATGGAGCTAGGTTGTTCTCTGTGGTGGCAGATGACAGAACAAGGAGCAATGGTCTCAAGTTGCAGTGGGGGAGGTCTAGGTTGGTTATTAGGAAAAACTGTTTCACGAGGAGGGTGGTGAAACACTGGAATGGCTTACGTAGGGAGGTGGTGGCATCTCCTTCCTTAGAGGTTTTTAAGGCCTGGCTTGACAAAGCCTTGGCTGGGATGATTTAGTTGGTGTTGGTTCTGCTTTGCGCAGGGGTTGGACTAGATGACCTCCTGAGGTCTCTTCCAACCCTAATCTTCTGTGATTCTTCTATGATCCCCAGGGCAGTTCTAACACAGCTCACTCTCACAGCATAGACAGGACCAAAATGGGTTTTAACCACGGTCCCATTGCCACAGCTAAAGCATGCTGCTGTCCTGCCTGCTCTACAACACTAATCATGGCAAGGGGTTACTGGCTTGTAAAGAAGTCCCCTGGCAGAATAGTTTTGACAAGACAAATGGGGCCTTAGGTTGGTTAGGGAGGGGAAAGATCACCAGGGCAGGAGGCCAGTGACCTGGCTAAAGCATAGGGCATGGAAGCACATGATCTGGCTTCTGTTTTTGACTCTGCTGCTGACACTCTGCACACAACATTTCCCCTCTCTGTGCCTTGGTTTCCCCCTCAGTAAAATGGGGATAATGCCTTCCAGGCTTCATTCATTAACATAAGTAAGACTCCTTGAGAGCCTTGGATGGAAAAGGAGAGATGCATAAGGAACATGAAGAAGCATGTACTGGATATGCAGACGGTCACCCTACATATTATCATTGATATGACATGTCCCATATATCTGTCACACTCATGCACATTTGGCTCTGTCTTTGAACCTCAATGGATTTCTCTACAGCCTCACATAAAGGGGCTGATTGACTCTCACCCTAAGAGAACATAACTCTCAAAGTGGAGCTGTGCTGAGATCCTTTCTCTACATAGTGCCATCCTCTGCTCAGCACCCAAAGGTTGTCAAGGCAGCACTAGCCATCTTATTAGGACAGGGGTACTTGGTGCCTTTTCCATCTTCTCTTGTCCCCTGTAACCTCATCGTTGATGGTACAACCCCCCTTCATAGCCTCTGCCGTCTAAAAACGTCTCCCTCTATCATTCTTCCTTCTCAAGTCTACGGATCTTCTCTTCCCTGTTCCTCTCAATCCTTTGTTTAAATGGCCTTATGCTATAGAGTATCCATACAATGACTATACAACAGCGCTGTCTGTAACTGACACCAGGTACTCATCACCATCTTACATGTTTCTGAGCATGCTTTGGGATAGTTTGTACCTTGAACAAGCCAGCAGGTGCTCATTCTGCTGAGAAAAAATGAAGTGGTTTCTGTTGACTCTCCGAGGCAAGTGTCTCATTACCCCACTTGGACATGAGAGAGGTGGGAGTGGCTCTCTTGGGGACAAAGGACCTAGGGTGTGGGCTGGGCAGTCCTGAGAGAAGAACCCTAGGAGCAGACAAGCCTAGGAAGAAAGTCTGAGCAGATATTATGGCTGTGATAAATGAAGGTGGGGGCGGGGTAGCTCCCTTTGATGGACAGCCAGCCAGTTAGCTGTAAAATCCCTCTTGGTAGCCGTTCTCTACTTGCTTTACCTGTAAAGGGTTAAGAAGTCCTGCAGGTTAAAAAAAAAAAGTGGGCAGCTGACCAAAAGAGCCAATGGGAAGGTATAACTTTTTAAAATTGGGAAAGAAACTTTCCCTTTGTCTGTTGTTCTCACACAGAGCAGCAATGCTATTAGCAGGAATACCATGTAAGGCTTGAACCAGGTATAAAAATTCATCTTCCATACCTAGAACAAATCATTGGACAGGGCATGTTTAAATAGACGCGATCAGGTTTACTTCTGTTATTTTTTAAGGCTTGTGGACTCCTCTGTGCTAACCCCAGATGCTTTTGTTTGCTTGTAACCTTTAAGCTGGACCCCCAAGAAAGCTAGTTGGGGTGCTTGATTTTTGGAATTGCTCTTTTAAAATCTAGCAAAAGTCTAGGTTTCAGATGTATTTTCTTCCTTTTTGTTTTTAATAAAATTTACCTTTTTTAATAATGGGATTGGATTTTGGGTGTCCTAAAAGGTTTGTGCATGTTGTTGATTAGTTGGTAGCAACAGCTAATTTCCTTTCTCAGCTCTCCCCCGGGGGGGCGGGGTGTGTGTGTGTGTGTGAGTGTGAAAGGGCTTGAGGGTGCCCCACAGAGAGGAATTCCCAAGAGCGCCTTCCTGGGTCCAAGGGGGTTTTTTTGTACTTGGGTGGTGGCAGCGTTTACCAAGCTAGGGTCAGAGAGGAGCTCTAACCTTGGGAGTTTAATACAAGCCCGAAGTGGCCAATATTAATTTTTAAAATCCTTGCGGGCCCCCATCTTCTGGGCTCGGAGCGACAGAGGGGGGTTTAGCCTTGACAATGGCTTTACTAACAAAAATCAGCAACCCCCTGGAAGGGGGCAAGTTGGACTTTACAGCCTGCTTTACATACGATGGCTGTAGAGCAAGTCGGAAAAGGCGCCCGCCCGCTCAAAGATCCCATCCCACATCAGGCTGCATTGTACTCCACACAAGGAGAGAGACCAGGGCTAGCATATGAAATATTTAGTTACATTTGCGATCAGACATACACAAGTTCCCGCAAAGAAAATGCTTCACACACAAAACAGATCTTTTTTGTCACATAGCCATTAGTCATAAGTAAGATAAATAATGCACAGGAGGAATTGACCTCTGTCAGAAAGGCCCATGTAGAATGATGACCACCTCTCCACTCATTCAGGCTATCCTCTCTCTCTCTCTCTCTCTCTCCCTCCACACTGGGGATAGGTACAAACACCCCTATGACTGAGGGCTGCACACACAAGGAAGAAAGTAAGTCTTCAAGAAAGAGACATGGCTCCTCTCTAAACGCTATGGGCCCAATCCTCCAATCAGATTGCATTTAGCAGGGAGGCCCATTGAAGTCAAGGGCATTCTGCATTGGTGCATGGATTGGATTGCGAGATCAGGCCCTAAGGCGTAAGAAAAGTGATTAAAACGGGCACCTCACCTCCTGTATCTGCTCCTTGGGCCTGTGCATGTGCGGAGACAAAGGGCCCCTCCCTTCACACCCACTGCAGCTCAGCAGAAGTCGTAGCATGGAAAGGGCTCGGGCTCTTAGTCTTGGCTCTGAACAGCACTAGCCCCCAGGGCAGCAGAAGTCCTGGCTACACGGCTACTGCTCCCGCTGCTGGAGTACTGCATGTACTATTTTTGCCAGAGCAGACAAGGTGCAGATCTGTTGGCACAGCCCAGCGTGTACTTTTCACGCCAGCTGAGCCAACGCCGCTCTGGAAGATGGCTTCTAGTGCTCGCTAAACTCTAGTTAGTCACAGGGATAACGGAACGGGGAGAAGGACTCTGCTTCATCTGCAGTTTCTGAACCAAGGACTTAATCCTGCCTGCTGTTACATGCCCTCTGCTCCCACCAAAGCCACCAGGATGCACCACCCCATATATCGAACCTTCCCAGCACCCAGTACCATGGTGTCAGGCCAGGAGAGGGCAGCAGCTGCTAGCTAAGGAGGACTTGTGGCACCTTAGAGACTAACCAATTTATTTGAGCATAAGCTTTCGTGAGCTACAGCTCACTTCATCGGATGCATACTGTGGAAAGTGTAGAAGATCTTTTTATACACACAAAGCATGAAAAAATGGGTGTTTACCACTACAAAAGGTTTTCTCTCCCCCCACCCCACTCTCCTGCTGGTACTAGCTTATCTAAAGTGATCACTCTCCTTACAATGTGTAGGCCATGCCAGCACAAAGGTTTTCTCCCCCCCCCCCCCCCCCCCAGAAACCCACTCTCCTGTTGTGCTGGAAATGGCCCACCTTGATTATGATACACATTGTAAGGAGAGTGGTCACTTTAGATAAGCTAGTACCAGCAGGAGAGTGGGGTGGGGGGAGAGAAAATCTTTTGTAGTGGTAAACACCCATTTTTTCATGCTTTGTGTGTATGGAAAGTGTAGAAGATCTTTTTACAGTATGCATCCGATGAACTGAGCTGTAGCTCACGAAAACTCATGCTCAAATAAATTGGTTAGTCTCTAAGGTGCCACAAGTCCTCCTTTTCTTTTTGTGAATACAGACTAACACGGCTGTTACTCTGAAAGCTGCTAGATAAAAGCCTTTGGACTTGTAAGGTCAGTTAATTGGATCTGGGTGCCATTATGTGAAAGGGTGAATGGAAAGGACATGCTGGGCTCCACAGCCACTTTCCAGCATACACCTCCCTCCAAAGGAGGGCCCTGGCTCAGCAGATGTGGGGCGGTTCACCCTGGTTCCATCAGCAGGCTGGAGGACTTCCTGTTCCCAAGGATAGCGCCAAGATTCGCTGGCAACAGGACACCACAGCCAGGAACTGGAATTCCAACCTGGGCGAGGAAGGAGGGGTGGAGTTCTCCCTACACCAGGCTAGCCATGTGCTGACAATCATGGTAACAGACACAACCAGGCATGATGAAGGGTCCCTCCCAGTGGCGTGCTGGGAAGGAGACCAGCAGCAGTCCCTCCCCGAGTGGCGGGAGGAATGGCTTGCAGGGGAGTGGGGCTTAAAACTTTAGATGTCTGAACATTGCCTCGGGACCCAGAGAGCAGCGCGCATTGGTTTAGCTAGCTCAGTGTCTGTACTCTGCTCACCACAGGGGCACGGCTCAGCTATGCTGCGCTCTATAGTCATGTCTCCCCAGAACGGCGTTAGGGCAAAGGGGAGTTCCGTCTCCATGGCCCATTCATACAGAGCTGGGGACCCACAGATAGGAAACCATGCGCAGCCTTGTGCTGGTTCAGCCAACTTCATCCATGTCCCACCGGTGCTCCCGACAGAGCCGAGCAGCCTGGGAACAGGGAAGCACCTGGGCTAAGAGCATGGCCTCGAACTGAGAGAGACAGAAAGAGGGACAGATTCCTTCGTGGGAACCGCAGAGACACCCCACTGAGTCTCACTCCTGTCTGTTCGCCGACTCCTGTGCTGGCGGGGTCACTGGAGGGGGGAGATCTTCAGTGGGATCATGATCCGAGACTCCATGTTCCGAACCAGGGGGACTGCAAATCAAAAGGAACAATCACCACTGTGCATGGGAGCCCTGGGCAGAGGGGGCTGTACACACTGCTCCAACTTCGGCCCCTGAGGAGCTCACAGCTACTCCGCCCTACCAGCAGGAGGCACTGCCAGGAGAGTTCTCGTTCACACTGGTTCCAGCCCCTCCCAGGAGGCGGAACTGAAAAGGAGTGTACAGGTGGAGTGCTGGCTGGAGAGGAGATAGGGTGTGCCACAACAGAACAGACAGACAGTCCAGCTGCTCCAGTGTCCTCTTTCCGGCTGTGAGCAGCCAATACGATTTCATAGGAAAGCATATAATCCCCACAATACACCTCACTGGGCAACACTATATCAGCGGGGGCTTTTCTTCCTGACCACAGCTGACAACTGGCTTCGGCCCTGGAACATGAGGATTAGAGCTCACAGCAGCAGCCGCTCCGGAGAAGCACTCACCTGTGTAGTACACATTCTCATCCCAGCCTCGCTTCCTCCAGGCAGCGTTCCTTGTCTCCTCTCGGGACTGTAGGTCCTTGTAGGCTGAAAGAAGAAAACGCCAGGTGTGCACCCCCACATTTGCTGAGTTCTCCAGTGTTCGCTGCCACCAGCAGCTTAGCAAGAATTCCAGGCAAAAGGGAGCATTGCTGTGCGGGGCGGGACAGCCTAAGTCTTGGTGTGTCTCCATGGTGTGCTTTAATGCGGGGGGGGGGGGGGGGTGGAGTTCTTTGATAGGAGGATTGTGTACATGAATGCAGTGGAAGGGTCACTCTCCAGGAGCAATTCAATCCTACCAAGGATGCCAATGTTAATGGTGGGTTTTGTGATGAGGATAACTGTCCACTTCGAATTGGGCTGAGACCCACCAAACTCATTGCACATGGGTGATCTTCCACTGGAGAAGCGATGCAGCAGTGGCAAGGCTGGCCACATACACTTTGTTAGCTGCTCAGAAGTGGTTCGTCGCCACCTCAGCTGATTGCTTTTTGCAGGAGCTAGGGATTCTCCCCAGTGTCTTTCCATCAGATTTCAGTGCGAGTAACACCACTCTACCTCCCTGCACTTTCAACTAGATACAGAGTTATTTTCACTCCTTGTCCTAAAGTATTGTGTATGCTGCTGAGCGTTGTTAAACCAAGCTACCGTGTTCCACCCCAGAGTTGGCTGCATTTTGTTGGCCCTCCCTTTGGAAGCAGTTTGCAAAACACACAGGGATCCTTCCAGATGAAAGGTACAAAGGAAATGTTCAATGTTCCTATTTTAAAAATCACATGTGTCTGCCCTAGTCAATTGGGCTGTGGTTGCCAAGCAGCATGGGTAACTAGACCTAGTAGGAAAATTTTGGATTAAACATTTTTTCCTTGGAATTTATGTTTTGCGGGACTGTGTTGATTTTGGTGGAATTCCACCAGAAACCAACAAGAACCTGATGGAACCCTGCCTGCCATTGCAAACCTGGCTGTTTTCCTGCCAGCCTGGAAGACTGATAGAGAGCCCAGAGCCTGGGGATAGGTAGGTCTACACTGCAATTAACCACCCCTGAGTGGCCCGTGTCCGCTGACCTGGGCTACGCGGCTGTAAAATGGTGGTGTCGACTTTCAGGCTCAAGAAGGAGCCCGGGGCAAGGATCTCAGAGCCTGGGCTCCAGTTCAAGCCTGAATGTCTACACTGCAGTGTTTGCAGCCCCGCAAGTCAGCTGACACAAGCCAGCCGGAGAGGTGTGTTTGTTAATTGCAACATAGACATACCCAGAGAGTTCAGACTCCCAGTTCCTCACTAACCAGGGTTGGCAGGGCTGTCAGGTCCCTGGCTCCCCATCAGCCCACCAGAGCTGCCCCAGAGCGGTGTGGAGATCGGGAATACAACTGTGTGGAGAATGTGTCTTTTTGTTCTGCGTTTGTACAGTGCCTAGCGCAATGGATTCCTGCTCCATGACCAGTGCTCCTACGTGCTACGGCAATGCAGTATCAGAACTGAGCAATAACTGGGAGGTGTTTCAAACTGGAATCAAACCAAATTTTGAAATCTCAGACCGCGCCCTGAAATGGAATCCCTGCTCAGCTCTCATTGCTATGTACAAGTCAGGAGATACAAAATGTAATTGATGGGGCAGGAGCTTCTTTAAAGGCACTTGGTGATAATAAACCATCTTACAACGCTTTCAGCACTGCGATAAGGACCAGCCTCTAAAAGCAGCCAAGAGGGTAAAAACAGAGGCATGAAGGTAAAGGGGAGATGGTGTGTATGTGTTAGGAGGGCATCAGGGGAGGGAATAAGGGAACAAATTTAGGGCCAGCAAATCAAACTAAATCTCCCTTTTGGAACGGCCAGGGTCTGAAGTTGATTAAGTGGCGAGGGAGGGCCCATGGGAGTTTTATGCTCTAGGATGCATCCTCACAAAGGTGGGACCCTTGTGCTGCAGTGCTGGTAGAGCAAAGTTACCCACCAGCTGAAGTTCAGGCCAGATAATGGCTAATAAATACTCAAAAGGAAAAGGAAAGCCACCTACCCCAGAGGTGATGAACCACGTAGAGTTCTCCAATCTGGGAGAAGAACCCGCCCACCGCTTCCTGGTTTTTCTGACGGTATTTAATGGCCCGAGCCCTAGCAAAGACATAGGAGGAGAGAAGCAATCAGGTGGCATTGCTCTGGGACGCAACCAGCATTGCAAGAGGTGTTTTAAAATTTCCGTCAAATCCTAATTATCCAACCTCCTGCTATGCAAGTCTCCTTTAATGACCCCAGACTACTGGCTAGCTAAACGTATCTGTCACCCATGTGCAACAAGAAGTGGTCACGTGCACATTGCCAAGGTCAGCAGCAGGGCTTGAACTAGGAGACTTCAGCACAAGACGCACAGGCCTCGATCCTTAGCGCTGCAGGAGAAACAGCATCACCAGGGAAGAAGTAGCAGGCTGTTCTAGTCACCACAGCTGGGCACCAAAGGGCACCGTGCTCACACACATAGCGTGTGATACGTACAGTCAGAACAGGTCAGGATTCTACCTGGCGCCTCCAGCTAAGAGGAAGAAATTAACAGCAAGAGAGAGAGAAAACAGCAAAGAAAGCAGAATGAAAATCCAACTGAGATTCGATGGTTAGCCACTTAAAGGTGGAAGGACGGTCTAATGGCTCGGGGACTTGCCTGGCCTAGGTCTCAGCAGACCTGAGTTCAATTCCTGGCTCCATCGTAGACTTAGGGCAAGTCACACCATCTAGCCTGCACCTCAGATCCTGTCTGATGGGGCTAACATGTCCATACCTTGCAAGAGGGGTGGGGGTGGAGGGGATGAAATCTGTTACCGATTGGACGGTGCTCAGATGCTACAGGGATGACAAGGACAATCTAAGCACCTAGCTAGAGTCTTACACATGCCATAACTTTGATACAATAGCAGCCCCCACCTTGATATTAGTCAAAGAGATGCGTGTATCTTATTTTGGATACATGTAACTAAGACCTGGCCAATGCTGGCATGAAAAGATCAGACTGCTTTTGCCCAATGCAGACCCCCTTTATACACTACTACTGTCCATTTCTGCATCCAACAATAGTTCAGACCGTACAATACAGATACTCACCTCCCACTATAGGCCCAATCCTGCAGCCTTCCCTTGTGTCAGCTACCCACACTGGGACTGTCACCACAGGGGCAGGGTGCCTGCTAAGTTCTTTGTATCTACATTACAGTGGCTGCTAGAATTTCCAGCTGAGATCCAGACCTCCGTTGGGCTAGGCACTGTATGAACACACAGTAAGAAACACTTCCTGCCCCAGAAAGGGTCTTTTCCGAATACCCATCCGAGGTAGGGAGGAAGCATTGTCTCCACATTACAGATGGGGAAACTGAGGCCCACAGATGTTACGTGTCTGGCCCACGGTTGTGCTGAGAGTCTGAGACAGAGGCAGGAAATGGACCCAGCTCTCTCGAGTCCCAGTACTTTAACCATTAGGCAATCTGGAAGTCAGTGGAGTCACTCAGGAGTCTACCGGGACCGGGCTTTCGATTATACTGATCTTCAGTACAGTGGTCTGTGTTATTTGCCACAGAACAGTGAGCGGATGTTACCCGTGGAAGGCCACTGCCTCAGCTGGAGCAGCAGCCAGCATCAAGCAAAGAGGTGAAAGGAAAGCTTGGTGCAGGGGAAAGAAAGAAGAATGCACTGGGCGTTTATTGAGGGAATTTCCTTCAGTGACCTCAGCGCACATATACAAAGTGGGTAAGGCTCCCAGCTGGGGAAACTGAAGCATGGAGAGATGAATTGTCTTGTCCAAGATCACTCAGCAGCTTATCGTGTGACCTTGAGTGAGTCACTAATGTGGCTCTGATCACATGCCAGACTGGCGACTTCTTGGGGAAGGGACGCTTTAGTACCCACATGTACAGTGCCGAGAACAATGGGGTCCTGCTCCCTGTTTGGAGCTGCCTTTGGGTTTTACCACATTACAAATAACAAACAACATACAGCATCATCAGGACTAGAACTCGGGTCTTCTGACTCTGACCCTAGTGCTCTAACTTCCAACATCCCACTGCTTACATTCTCAACACAAGTGTTTAACGTTGTCTCTTTCAGCCTAGGGTGATACAAGGTGCTCACTGCTCTGCTTTGGGCCTCGCTTATGGGGCTCATGGCATTCAAGAGGCAGTTCCAGGGAGGTTAGATTTCAGTTAAAGCTGGATGGACTGGCACTACATAAGAACGGCCAGACTGGGTCAGACCAAAGGTTCATCTAGCCCAGTATCCTGTCTTCCAACACTGGCCAATGCCACATGCCCCAGGGGGAATGAACAGAACAGGTCACCATCAAGTGACCCATCCCCTGTTGCTTATTCCCAGCTTCTGGCAAACAGAGGCTAGGGACACCATCCCTGCCCATCCTGGACCTATCCTCCATGAATTTATCTAGTTCTTTTTTGAACCCTGTTATAGTCTTGGCCTTTACAACATCCTCAGGCAAAGAGTTCCAGAAGTTGACTGTGCGTTGTGTGAAAAAATACTTCCCTGTGTTTGTTTTAAACCTGCTGCCTATTCATTTCATTTGGTGACCCCTAATTCTTGTGTTATGAGAAGGAGTAAATATGACTTCCTTATTTATTTTCTCTACACCAGCCATGATTTTATAGATCTCAATCATATCCCCCCTTAGTTGTCTCTTTTCCAGGCTGAAAAGTCCCAGCCTTATTAATCTCTCCTCATACGGAAGCCGTTCCATACCCCTAATCATTTTTGTTGCCCTTTTCTGTACCTTTTCCAATTCCAATATATCTTTTTTGAGTTGGGGTGACCAGACCTGCACATGGTATTCAAGGTGTGGGCATACCATGGATTTACATAGGGGCAATATGCTATTTTCTGTCTTATTATCAATCCCTTAATGATGCCCAACATTCTGTTGGCTTTTTTGACTGCCGCTGCACATTGTGTGGATGATTTCAGAGAACTCCAAGATCTCTTTCCTGCGTGATAACTGCTAATTTAGACCCCATCATTGTATATGTATAGTTGGGATTATGTTTTCCAATGTGCATTACTTTGCATTTATCAACATTGAATTTCATCTGCCATTTTGTTGCCCAGTCACCCAGTTTTGTGAGATCCTTTTGTAGCTCTTCGCAGTCTGCCTGGGACTTAGCTACGTTGAGTAGTTTTGTATCATCTGCAAATTTTGCCACCTCACTATTTACCCCTTTTTCCAGATCATTTATGGGTCCCTGTCTAGCCAGAGACCCCTGCAGATCTGGGCTTTGTTCCCACTCTGCACAGCACTGGGATTGCTCTTCAGGAATACAAAGAGGCTTGAAGGTTCGATGCTTACCAGTTATTCCCCCACTCGATCATGGTCCCTGGCTGGAAACAAAGAGAAGGAATTAAAACCATGTCACGATTGCTTTTATCCTCTGTAAACTGGGGATCAAGGTCTTTCTCAGGCTCTGCTTGCCCACCTGGGCCAGAAAGGAATTCCACACCCTCACCCACCCTGTACAGCAGGGCAGAGCTGACGAGCTGCAGTAACAGAGGTGCTCATTCCCCCAGAACATCAGGCATAGGCCACTGCCAGACCAGGAGAGCAGATCAAATGGTCTGCGCCAGGTGGGCCCACCTAGCTGCTCACCCAGTGCTCTAGACTATTGCTGTTGCATATGTGGGGGTGCTGGAGACTCAATAAAGAAGGAGCTTTGAGTGAAAATGCTCCTGTTTGTACCAGTCATTTGTCAGATGGAAGAGCTGTGTCCCCCACTGATTTAGTTCCTGACACTGTCTGGAAGACAAAGATGAGTCACCAGGGTTTGGGGTTCAGCTACCCCTGGGTAACAAGGCCTGCTCCGGGTACCTGCCTGTGTACAGGTCTAAAGGCAGTGCTGCTTCATTGCTCTATTGTCCTCAGCCCAGCTGCAGGGTTAGCAGCCCCAAGCAGCCCTGGGCACTGCTCCCCCACGTGGCTCAGGAAGGAGTGATTCACCTTTAGCTTGTACGTTCTCAGCTCGTAGATGTTGGGCCCGACCCGGGGCAAAGGCTCATTCCAGAAACTGAATTCCAGGAGTAACTGGTTCCTGCGAGACAGCAGCATTTTACTCCTCTCCTTGCGGAACTCCAGGTACTCCTGCAAAGAACAACAGCTGAGGGAAGCCGCTGCCCCCAGGGGCTGGGAGCATGAATCCCAGCAATGGCGCACTAGGGTTCCACTGTGCCCAGGGGCTCGGAGTGCAAATCCAGGCCTTAGTGCATCATGGGTGGGAAGGAGCATTGCCTGGAGCACCTGCAGGGGGAAGAAGGGGAGGCAGGGGGCTGCCAGCTGGGGAAGTGACATGGTGCCCATGGCAGGGAGATTGCAGTCCCTGGGCAGGGAGCGAGTGCATAAGCAGCACCGTGGGGGGTCGCATGGCAGAGCGGAGGCGGAATTACGGTTAGGATGAGTTGCGGCGAAGCGTGCGGTACCTTGTTCTGTTTCAATTTGTTCATACAGTCCATGAGTGCCGGGTACCCGCCGGAGAAACGCCACAAGTGCACTGCAACGAGAGAGTCAGGCCTGGCTGGGAGTCCTTGTGAGGTGAACACGAGTGGTCAGCGGCTTTCCAGGGACCCAGGCACTCCACCCAAGCTGCCTCATGCGCCAGGGCTAATCCCACCTGACTTGCAAATTCCACCCTGTCTCTCAGCCAAGGTCAGAGCTGCTAGGCGACCTGCCCAGCAGGATCGGAGGAAGTCAGAACATACACACTACGACCCACGGCCCTCTCTCCAAAGCTAGGCCTCCTTTCTGGGCTAGTCTGGAGCAATGCTGCAGCCCTGACCTTCACCACCAATTTCACCCTCCTTGGCCCATCACTGATTTTCTACCGCACGCTGGGCAAGGAGGATTTTCTGCATGACTTTACTTTGTTGCTTCTGATTTCATCTGTGCTATCAACCCTAAGCACAGGAGAGGCTGATGGGAGCTGTGGAGAAGGGGTGCTGGGTTAGCTTCTCCTTCTTTACAGCCAGAGACCTAGGTTCAAGACCCAAGTGACAATGAGTCAGCTGGACCAAAAGCCGAGTTTGTCCACATCAGAAAACCACCCATATGATTTGACATGCTGACAGCGTCTGCTCAAGATAAAGCCTGGCAGTAAAAGAGCAGGGGGGATTCTGATCAGCAGAGCTGGGGCAAAGAGAACCGAGACTGGAGTGGCAGGGAGTGGTGCAGGTCAGGACTGAGGTGCGTTGGAAGAGCTGTGTGCAAAACAGACCTGGAATAACAGGGGGAGCTATGCGTGGGGCTGGGGTGCATTGGCAGAGCCATATGCAAAGTCCTTGTAACATACGTGGCTCGCGGCAACACGTTTATTCCGGGAATATCAAACTCCCATGCTGTGAAGAGGAGATTAACTTCTAAAATCTGAGAGGGGATTTTCAAGGTATTTAGCTACACACAGTTCCCAGATGTTTCACCCAGTTAGTTTAATTTGAACCCCTCTCTCACCTGCGTTTCCGTCTGTTTCCACCAGAGGGCAGGAGAGCCACAGAGAGACTGACAGGCTGTGCATCTGAGGCCAGCTCTGGGCCACGGATAATTCAGGTCTCCATCGCACGCCCCAAGTCAAGGTGCCCAGCTCTTGGTAGGACAGGGAACGTGCCTCCCGAGCTGGCTGCACCTTGGGGCACCAAAACCGTGGGCAATGCCCCCTCCTGAGCCCACAAGTCCTGTCCGGCGGCTGCCTGCTCACCTGCCTGGTCCTGTTCTCCGTACCACGTGTTCCAGTTCCCAACCAGGTCACACGGGTAATCGGTGTCCGAGTGCAGATTGGGCAGCACCTCCTCCCTGCAGAGGATGCAGAAGGGTCAGAGGGGCAATGCCCATGGGTGGCTCGGACTGCCCTGCAGAAGAGCTGCATTTAAGGTCCTTCCTCCCACTGCCCAGGCTACGAGGGACTGGGCAGATGGGGAAGCAAGAGGCAGAGACCTGAAGCTGGCAGAGGGAGGGGTGGTATTTCTCCTCACCTGTCCAGCTAATGGGGGGTTGCACCAGCTGCCACTCCAAGGCAGACTTCAGAGTGTGCTGGGGCCTGGGGTCAGGGTGAGAGAACACAGGGCTCTGGAAGTGACCAAACACTCCCCCCTTACGGGGGTAACGGGCCGGTCTCCACCCATGGCCCCCCTACTCGCCCCTCCAACCCAGCCGGGAATGTCTTAGGCATGAACTGGAGCAAAGTGCTGGTTGCTAGGGATGAGCCGCACCACGTGCAACACAGTGAGTCAACTCAAGCTGACACACTCCTGCTTCCTTTGGCAACCCTGAAGCCAAGGCCCTGGAGACAGCGAGGGGGACAAGGGATCCACTGGCCTCATAGAACATACGAACGGCCAGACTGGGTCAGACCAAAGGTCCATCCAGGCCAGTATCCTGTCCACCGACAGTGGCCAATGCCAGGTGCCCCAGAGGGAATGAACAGGACAGGGAATCATCAAGTGATCTGTCCCCTGTCGCCCATTCCCAGCTTCTGGCAAACAGAGGCTAGGGACAATTCAGAGTCCGTGAACCTGGGGTTCACGTGACAGGGAAGGAAGATGGGATAGAAAGAGGAGCAGGAGCAGGGACTGGGGAATGAACATGGAGCAGCAGAAGGAAGCTGAGAGGCAGAGCTGGGGCTCTCACATCAGCCTGCTGAGGGTCTCAAAGCACTTTGGAAACACATAGGAATGAGACCCCACAGCCGAGCGAGGGGTGAGTCAGAATCCCCTCCCCTATTTTACAGACAGGGAAACTGAGGCACAAAAGGGGAAGTGATTTGCCTAAGGTCACAGAGAACCCAGAAGTCCTGACTTCCAATCCTGTGCCTTATCCACAAGGCCCTTCCCCTCCCTACCCAGGGGCCTGTACAAGGAACAGCTCCATCAGTCAACCCCGCTAGAACCTATTGCACAGGTGTGTGTGGGGGGGAGATACACTCACGTCAGGCTGTTGTAAGCGTCCAGGCATTCGGGCTTCACATTGTGAACTGCAGCAGGGAAACAGACAGAAAAGTCACGTCAGCAGGGCAGAAATTCAGCCCCAAGGAACACAAGGGCAGGGCTAAGAGCAGCCAGCTATCTTTCTGGGCTGGGCAAAGCGATATGCGGGTGTCTGGCCTCCATGCAGCTCTCACCCTCCGAGCAGTACACTGCTTTCATATACCCACCGCCCCCATGATTCTCTGCATAACCCTGGTTCTAACGCACAGCGGGGTCAGGCCCTGGAGACCAGGAACCAGCCTCTGACTTGGCACGACTGCCAGTCTCAGCTTCAAGACGACCAGGAAGTGAACAGCAGGGGGTGCTGCAGGGCAGGACTAAGGTGCATCGGGGGAGATGGGCAGGACTGGACAGCAGGGGCATGCAGGGCAGTGTGATGCACGAGCAGAACCTGTGTGCGCGTACAGGCGCCATATCCCCGAGAAGGTTTATTTACCTCCTGGGCCAGCTGGGTGATTTGCCAGCCAGGTGATTTGCCAGCCAGATCCCCTCCCACATCGCCCCCAGCTAAGAGGGCAGAGGAGCCCTCCACACCCTCCGCTAACACCCCCCACACGGGGCCAGCGTTAAACACACACAAGGCAAATATCTGCTTGGGGCCCTGCTACGCTGCAGCTCACTGCATGGCCCATCTCTCCTGCAACCGGGGGCAGGGGAGGCGTGGCGATGGAGGCACTCCCCCAACGGGATTGGCCTGTGGGGGTCTCAAGGCCCACCGCCAGCAGACAGGAGCCCCACAAATGACAAGGCTATCCCTGAACACAGACCACCCCCCCGACACTGGCGTGCAGATTGCAGTGGCCTGGAAAGGAACTCGGGAGGGATAAGGAGAGGGGCAGCTCACACTGGATCTTGTACAGGTTGCTGGTTTCTTTCTTCGACAAGAGTGTGGAATGAGCGTCTGTTCGGGGATCCACTTTGTGGACAAAGAGTGAGCGGAACCAGCTGCCCTCGTTGTCCCTGGAGTATCCCCTGGAAGAAGGCGCAGAGGTCAGCAATGGCCGAGATGGGCCGAGGTGTAGAAGGGAGTGAATACAGGGCTGCAGTCAGGCCCTCTCTCTCTGGCACCCACAGGCTGTCAACAGCAATAAAAGGCATCTGCCATGCACTGCTGGGTTCCCTCGCGGTCTAAAGTCACTGCCCCGATAGATGCCCTGGAGGACCGACCTACACCCTGCCAGAAGCACTGTCCCAGTAGCCAGGAGCAGGTAACTGAACAAGGCCAGATAAGGAAGAAAACCCATAACACAGCCATCTAACTGAACTAGTCTTGTTACCTGTGTAAGGAACCAGCCCTCTGAGAACACCGAAATCCTCAGGGGATCAGAGCGCAGGGCACTGGCAGCGAGCAACACGTATCCCTCCTCCAAACTGCCCTCCCCCCGGCATTCAGGAATTCAAATCCCCCACCCGCACTGGATCAGGCTGGCTCGCGCAGCACCTCCAGAGCACGCTGGCCTATTTGTTGACGCAGGGTTTTGCCACAGGCGGGTAGGGTCCAAGGCTCTTTTCGAGGGGAATGTGCCGAATCCGCTACCTAACACTGAGGCTGTTTGCTGCTTTAGTCCAGGGGTTTTAATTGGGTCCACTTGCTTAGATAGGAGGACAAGCACATTTTCTCAACCAAAAATAGACAGACATCGATTGCCACAGGCTCAAAAATACTTATACGTAAAACACAGGAAGTAACATTTCTTCAAGGAACCCTTGGTAATTAACAATTGAGGTCCTAATAGCAATGAACTGGGATTAAAAAATACCACAGGGTTTCAAAACTCCACTCCCCAGTGCCAACAGGAAGGGCGGCATCCCAGCCGAGGAGAATGCGAAGCACTAGCGTACGTGGGCTTGGCTGCTGCAGCTCCCTTTCGGAGTCTGGCAGCAGAGGCCCTGCAGGCAAGGTCTGCGCGCCTGTCTAATCTGTGGCTCTTCAGGGAAACGAGCACTGCTTCCGTGTGGTACGGCATAGAGAGGCCTGTGCCAGAGACACTTATCAGGCTGCCTCCTGTTCAAGCCCCTCGGACACAGGGTGCGCTACCTTTGGTCCAAGACCTGGTCTAACAAGCAACTGCACGGTGGCCTTTCCGAACTCTTCACCTGCACGGGCAAAGTAAGAGGCTGTCTCCAGGGCTGAACTCACAAGGGGGTGAAAGGTGCACGCAAGTGGGATATGGGTACTCCTCTCAAAGTCTGCCCCTAATCCCAGCAATTCATCATTGGTGAAACAAATCAACAGTGTGGGAGTGAGAGCGACATTTATAGTGCTGTTGGGCTTCAGTGCTAATGACCCAGGAAGCACCTCTCTCTCTGAGCTATTGTTGCAGGCTGGCTGCAGACTCAGGAAGACAGTGCTGCATCAGGACACCTTTGGAAAGTTATCTTCACAACCATAAGGGCCGGAACTCTCCTGGAGGTGCCAGAGCAGTGGTGCCATGGGGCACTGATGCAGACACAGATCCCTCTCCCCCCGTCTGTCCCTCCCATGAAAATCAGCAGAGATGCACAATTTGTGCCTGGCAAGACCTTTGCCCCAATGCTACAATCTCTAGTAACGCATTAACATCAGAGATAAAGATAAATAACCCTTCTCCTGGCTTCAAACAAACCTCCCAGATGCTTCCTGAACATTTCAAACCTCCACCTGGCCCCCTCCTCCATCCTTCCACCCTCCGAGTCCTAATAATCCAGAGCAGCCGGGAGTGACCCCGCACCGAGGGGCTGAGCTGCCCATCAATCCCTTGCCACATCATTGTTGCAAAGGGCTTTGAAATCTATCTGGATGGGCAGGATCATTTACCATTAACCTGGGGGCTCTATTCTGCTGCAGATCTGTTATGCCCAGCTTAGGGGCTGCAGGCCTTTCTCCTCTTACTCCTTTGATTTCAGTGCAATTACTCCAGACTTGGAGTGCAGAATCAGGCCCCTTGGTTTAAGTGTAAATGACCCCTGTGTTTCCAAGTCGGCTCCTAGAGGAGCCCCCATCTGTCCCGCTCCCCTCAATTGTATCAAACTCATGGAAATTGATTCATTCTCTCTCCTAACACTACAGTACCCTGGGACAAGAGCACATGGCGTGGCATGCCCTACCCTCTGGGCCCAACCCTGGGCATTGGAGAAGGGGCCACTTGCAGCTAATTGTTGGCCTTTCAAGCATGCAGAGCTCAGTCTGAGCTTGGGGCTGCCCTTCCCCAGCCATTCAAACAGCTTCCTCCGACACCCCAATTTAGTGTGGGGATTTTGCAAACTCAGATACTAAAGTGCCTTAGGTAACCAGAGGACAATGCTCCCAAGCCACTCCCAAGCCAAGAGCAAAAGGTCACAGTGATGAAGGGGAGAGACAATGGGGGTGCAGAGGTCCAGGGTAGGAGTGGGGAATGGGGAGGGAAGATGATGACACAGAGGCCAGGGGAGAGGTGACAAAGGGCCCACAGTGGCGCTAATGAAGGGACAGGTGCAGGGATGATGGGGAGGGCCCGGTATCCCAGGTGTGGAGAGGCCCTTGGGAGAAGTGATGGATGGAAAGGGACACAGATGGGGGACATTGGAAGGGGTGGCACAGGGGCCCGAAGCAATGGGGGTATGAGGGACAGGGATGGAGAGGATGGACACATTGGGGGGCAGGGGCCTGGGGTAACGGCAGTATGGGGGCACAGGGGATGGACAGGTTGGGGGGCAGGGGCCGGAGGCGATGGGGGCGCCGGGGATGGACACGTCGGGGCGCGGGGGCTGGAGGCGATGGGGGCGTGGGGGCCGGAGGCGATGGGGGTGGGTGGAGGATGGGGGCGTGGGGGCCGGAGGCGATGGGGGTGCGGGGATGGACACGTCGGGGCGCGGGGGCCGGAGGCGATGGGGGCGTGGGGGCCGGGGCGTGGGGGGGGTGGGGCGGGGGCCGGAGGCGATGGGGGTGCCGGGGACGGACACGTCAGGGCGCGGGGCCGGAGGCGATGGGGGCGTGGGGGCCGGAGGCGATGGGGGTGCGGGGACCGGACACGTCGGGGCGTGGGGGCCGGAGGCGATGGGGGCCCAGGGGGCCGGAGGCGATGGGGGTGCTGGGGACGGACACGTCGGGGCGCGGGGGCTGGAGGCTATGGGGGTGCCGGGGATGGACACGTCAGGGCGCGGGGGCCGGAGGCGATGGGGGCGCGGGGAGCGGGCGTGGGGTGCGGGGGGGATCGGGCGTGGGGGAGGGCGTGGGGCCCGGGGGCGGAGGCGTGGGGGTGCCGGGGACGACAGTCAGGGCGCGGGGGCCGGAGGCGATGGGGGTGGGGCGGAGGTGAGGGAGGGGGGGAGCGATGAGGGCAGGGGCGGAATGTCAGGGCGCGGGGGCCGGAGGCGATGGGGGCGCGGGGGCCGGACACGTCGGGGCGTGGGGGCCAGAGGCGATGGGGGCCCAGGGGCCGGAGGCGTGGGGGTGCCGGGACAGACACGTCAGGGCGTGGGGGCGGAGGCGTGGGGGCAGGGGACAGAGGCGATGGGGGCCCAGGGGCGGGGGCGGAGGCGATGGGGGCGTGGGGGCGGAGGCGATGGGGGCGCGGGGGATGGACACGTCGGGCGCGGGGGCTGGAGGCAATGGGGGGTGGGGGCCGGAGGCGATGGAGGTGCGGGGGCCGGACACGTCGGGGCGCGGGGCTGGAGGCGATGGGGGCGCCAGGGATGGACATGTCGGGGTGCGGGGGCTGGAGGCGATGGGGTGCGGGGGCGAAGTCAGGGCGCGGGGGCGGAGGCGATGGGGCGTGGGGGCGGAGGCGTGGGGGCCCGGGGGGGAGGCGATGGGGGTGCTGGGGAGGACAGTCAGGGCGTGGGGGCCAGAGGTGATGGGGGCAGGGGCGGAGGCGTGGGGGTGCGGGGGAGGACACGTCGGGCGCGGGGGCCGGAGGCGATGGGGGCCGGGGGCCGGAGGCGATGGGGGTGCCGGGGATGGACACATCGGGGCGCGGGGGCCTGGAGGTGATGGGGGTGCCGGGGACGGACACGTCGGGGCGCGGGGGCTGGAGGCGATGGGGGCCCAGGGGGCCGGAGGCGATGGGGGTGCCGGGGATGGACACGTCGGGGCGCGGGGGTGGAGGCGATGGGGGCGTGGGGGCCGGAGGCGATGGGGGTGCTGGGGACGGACATGTCGGGCGCGGGGGCCGGAGGCGATGGGGGCGCGGGGACGGAGGCGATGGGGGCGCGGGGGACGGACACGTCGGGGCGCGGGGGCTGGAGGCGATGGGGGCGCGGGGGGCCGGACACGTCAGGGCGCGGGGGCCGGAGGCGATGGGGGCGCCGGGGACGGAGGCGATGGGGGCGCGGGGACGGACACGGGGGCGCGGGCTGGAGGCGATGGGGGCGCGGGGGCCGGACACGTCAGGGCGCAGGGGGCCGGAGGCGATGGGGCGCGGGGGCGGAGGCGATGGGGGGCGCCGGGGATGGACACGTCGGGGCGCGGGGGCTGGAGGCGATGGGGGTGCGGGCGGGACGTCGGGCGCGGGGCTGGAGCGATGGGGGCCCAGGGGGCCGGAGGCGATGGGGGTGCCGGGGATGGACACGTCGGGGCGCGGGGGTGGAGGCGATGGGGGCGTGGGGGCCGGGGCGTGGGGGTGCTGGGGACGGAATGTCGGGGGGGGGGGCGATGGGGGTGCTGGGGTGGACATGGGGGGGGGCTGGGGCGATGGGGCGCCGGGGACAGAGGCGATGGGGGCGCCGGGGATGGACCGTCGGGCGCGGGGGCTGGAGGCGATGGGGGTGCCGGGGACGGACACGTCGGGCGCGGGGGCTGGGGCGATGGGGGCATGGGGCCGGGGCGATGGGGGCGCCGGGGATGGAATGTCGGGGTGCGGGGGCTGGGGGCGATGGAGGGTGGGGGCCGGAGGGCGATGGGAGTGGGGGGCGGAGGCGATGGGAGTGCGGGGGACGGACACGTCGGCGCGCGGGGGCTGAGGCTATGGGGGTGCCGGGGATGGACAGTCAGGGCGCAGGGGGGAGGCGATGGAGGTGGGAGCGGAGGCGTGGAGGTGGGGGGGGACAGTGGGCGTGGGGGCAGGGCGATGGGGGCCCAGGGGCCGGAGGCGATGGGGGTGGGGGATAGAGTCAGGGCGCGGGGGCCGGAGGCGTGGGGGTGTGGGGGAGGTGGGGGAGGGGGGAGCGTGGGGGCAGGGGCCGGACACGTCGGGGGTGGGGGCCAGGCGATGGGGCCGGGGCCAGGGCGATGGGGGCGCGGGGACGACACGTCAGGGCGTGGGGGCCGGAGGCGATGGGGGCCGGAGGCGATGGGGGTGCCGGGGACAGACACGTCAGGGCGCGGGGGCCGGAGGCGATGGGGGCGCGGGGGGCGTGAGGGGGGGCGTCAGGCGCGGGGGGAGGCGTTGGGGGCGGGGGGGAGTGGCTTGGGGGGGCGTGGGGCAGGGGGCCGGAGGCGATGGGGGTGCCGGGGACGGACACGTCAGGGCGCGGGGGCCGGAGGCGATGGGGGCCCAGGGGGCCGGAGGCGATGGGGGAGCTGGGGACGGACACATCGGGGCGCGGGGGCCGGAGGCGATGGGGGCGCGGGGGATGGACACGTCGGGGCGCGGGGGCCGGAGGCGATGGGGGCCCAAGGGGCCGGAGGCGATGGGGGAGCCGGGGACGGACACATCGGGGCGCGGGGGCCGGAGGCGATGGGGGCGCGGGGGATGGACACGTCGGGGCGCGGGGGCCGGAGGCGATGGGGGTGCCGGGGACCGGGTCGAGAGGGGCGAGGCCGGAGCCGGGGGCCCGGGGCTCACCGGGCTCCGCTCAGGGCCAGGCAGGGTCCCCGCAGCAGCCGCCGCAGCGCCGGGCTCCCGCCCGCCCGCGTCGCCATCTTCGCGCTGCGGAGGCTCAGCCGCAGCCCGGCGGTGCGCGGCGCGGGGCGGGGCGGGGCGGGGCGGTGCGCGGCGCGGTGCGGGGCGGGGCGGTGCGCGGGGCGGGGCCGGGAGGAGCCCGCAGCGCCCGAGCCCCTCAAATACCCTCGCCGCGCCCCATTGCCTTTCCTGGCGCAGCCCCGCCCGGCTTACCCGCCGCCCCCCAGGGTTGCCATTCATAGCACAGACCCAAACATCCCAGCCCCACCCCTTCCCCAGGCCCCGCCCCCTCACGCCCCTTCCCCAGGCCCCGCCCCCTGGTCACGACGTTCCGCCTCCCTCGGTGGTTCACTCACTTTCACTGGGCTGGGGCTGGGGTTGGGGCGCAGGGCTACCTGGCACAGCTCCCGGTCAGCGGTGCAGCGGGTGCAAAGCAGGCTCCCTGCCTGTCCTGGTTTTATTTTTTTTTTTTTTAAAACTCTGTTTAAAAATAGCAGACTTCCGAACCACTACCGGACACAAACTCACACAGGAGTTTCTGGAGTTCTGATAGATAGGCTTACTCTTAAACTCTCTGAGAAGCTCTAGTAGGAAGGTATATGGAAGGGGTTAGATGTTGTATCACTTTTTTTTCTTTCTTCCACAGGAAAACACTTTTCTTACAAAGTCAACTGGTCTCCATATTGGAAAAAATTGAAGGTCTGGAGCAACAGATAACGACCCTGCGTTGCATACGAAACTGAGGATTTTCTGGACAAAACTCAGGATAGGCTTCTAGGGGCACAAAGCTCTACAGATATAGAGCAGGTTGCACAGAGGAGCCAAGAGGCAGTGAAGAAGCTTGCAACATTGACCTCCAGAAGAGGTAACGAATGTCGGGTTCAGTAACACAGACACAGTAACTAACCCTTTCATTTCTCTCCACAGGTATGTTCGGAAGTGGACCAATGATATGTCTGGGGCAAAAGCAGAAGGAACTCTGGTTGGAAGGATGAGATCCTGTCCTGAGGTTGGAGTTCCCACCACCACTCCCAAGAGGAAAGTGGTGGTGTGGGCTCCCTCGGACTAGTCATCTATCTCCCTGACCGGAAAACCGAATTCTCTTGCGGGCTAAGATTCATGTCGGAGAACTCGGACTCATCAACCCTCGGATCGCTACCCCTTCCTCTTCTCCACGCCCAATATATCCAAAATACCTTGAACACTCGACTATGGGCTCTAGAAGAAGGATAAAGGAGTTGACAATGTGTTTACCCCCCGTGGAAAAAAGCTAGGTAGGGACTCAATCTGGAAGTCAACACTCAGGTGGTGTCGGAGAATTTGATTCTTCGACATTGTGTTCCAAGAAAATTAGGCAACGGCTCCACTTAACAAGAGAGGAAAATCTTACATAATAGTGAGGAGGCTTTAAATAGGTTACCGGGGAAGGAAAAACTGAGGTAATGGAACGATAGGAGGAACACAGGAATGTTGTGAGGGGAGGCTCTCATATAATGAGGGGCATCAACAGTTATCTAAGTGCTATATACAAATAAAACCTTGAAACAACAGGAAATGTTGTGATGTCAAAACTAATATAATAACAAACTTTGGGATAACTAAATTATTTGGATATAAATTTAGAAAAAGGGCAAAGGTGGGGGATATTATGTAAGGGAATATGACTACCTCAAACAAAAAATTGTCTTGGATTAAGTTTAGAAGTGTGAACAAAGTGAGTTGGTGGGAGTTGTACCGACCAGGGATGAGTAATGTTTTCACCAAATATTATTTGTGTTTAATTTTTATACAAAATAATAGACAACCAGGAATTTTAAATAGGGAAATTTCAGTAGAGGAAATAGGGGGCTGCCCAAACCTAGAATTAGTGGGAAAAAAAGTGGATGGAATGGTAGTTGGTTGGTTAGGATTGACACAGGGAAGAAAGGTAAGGCACGTCGGACCCTGGACTTCAGGAAAGCAGACTTTGACTCCCTCAGGAACGATGGCCAGGATCCCCTGGGGGACTAACTTGAAGGGGAAAGGAGTCAGGAGAGCTGGTGTATTTCAAGGAACCCTGTTGAGGTTACAGGGACAAACCATCCCGATGAGTCGAAAGAATAGTAAATATGGCAGGCGACCAGCTTGGTAATGGTGAAATCTTAGGACTTAAACATAAAAAGAAGCTTACAAGAAGTGGAAGGTTGGAATTGACAGGGAAGATATAAAAATATTGCTGGCTGTAGGAATGTTATCAGGAGGGCAAAGCACCTGGAGCTGAGCTAGCCGAGAGTCAAGAGTAACAAGAAGGGTTTCTTCAGGTATGTTGGCAACAAGAAGAAAGCCAAGGAATGTGTGGGCTTCTGAATGAGGGAGGCAAACTAGTGACAGAGGATGTGGAAAAAGCTATGTACTCAGCTTTTTTCTCTGTTTTCCTAACAAGTCAGCTCCAGACCTCTGGGCCAAAAGGGGAAAAGGACTCTGTGGAATAGAGTGGTTAGGGATATTTAGAAAACTGTAACATGGGGATTGATAGTGTTTAGTATCTTTGAAAATGGGGACGAGACGGAAAAAGAAGTAGTGAACTTTAAAAAGGGAAGAAGAGACTGGGAATGATCCTTCGTCCCTGGAAAATCATGGAGTTAAAAAACTGAAGCATTGCATGAGAGGAAAGAAGGAAACGATTCACCAAGGAAATAATAACTTCTTGTGAGATTATGGTTTGTGGATGAAGGGAAATGGTTATTGTTTTTGTTTAGAACTTTTGCTATTCTTGTCATAAGGAATAGGGGGTAAGTGGGTATTATTTTTGGGTTTTTTATCTTCTAAAATCTGGGGGTGCTTATTTGGGTAACTGGGAGGAGGGAGAGCGGGGGGGGAGGAAGGATGAAGGAGTTGGGAAAAAAGAGGTTAATAAGGAAAGGGGGTTACGGAGAAACACCAATGGGAGTGGGAAAGGATGGGTGAGTGGGAACGGTGGGTTGTTGACAAATTTGGGGTAAGTGGGGGAGGGGGAGCTTTGGTGGGTGGTTGTGTGTTTTGGGCCTTCAGAAGGGGGATAAATGGAGGATAGACAAAAGATAGGGGCTGGAAGATGGGAAGGGGTGGGATGTTTAGGGAAGAGGGGGATTGGGTTCACGAAGGGGTTGGGAGGTTTATGGTATGGACAGAGGAGGTCAGGGTGGGGGGTTTGTGGATTTGGAAAAATTTTTCCTAAGAGGGTGGTGAACGGGTATGGGGGGGACCCGGGTTTTGGGGGGGGGGTTAAGGGGGGGGGGGTGGAGGGGGCGATGCACCACGCTGCGCCCCGGAAGTGGCCAGCAGATCCGGCTCCTAGGCAGAGGCGCGGCAGGCAGCTTTGCGTGCTGCTCTCGCCCCCCCAGCTCCCATTGGCCAATGGGAGTGGGGAGCCAGTGCTCGGGGCAGCACGTGCAGCCCCGTGGCCCCTCCCAGCCTAGGAGCCGGATCTGCTGGCCGTTTCCAGGGCACAGTGTGGTGCCAGGAGAGGTCGGGACTAGCCTGCCTTAGCCCCACAGCACCGCTGACTGGACTTTTAATGGCCCAGTCGGTAGTGCTCACTGGAGCCGCCAGGGTCCCTTTTCGACAGGGTGTTCCAGTCGAAAACTCGACACCTGGCAACCCTACCCCCCACTGCCCCATTTGACTCCTACACACTCCCTGTCCCTAGCAGCCTCCTGCCCCCACCTCTCCCCTCCCAGCCTGGGTTATACAAACCTTTGTCTCACCAGGGCTTTCTTATCCTTCCCCAAAGCACCAAGCCTGGGTCCACTCCCCCTGCTCAGTCCCGCCTGCCTTAGGCTGTTCCATTCCCTACTCTGCCCACCTGTGACCTTGCAGCACCTAATCCCCAGAGCCACAGTGCAACAAAGGGGTCAGGGTGACCAGATACAAGTGTGAACAATAGGGACAGGGGTTGCAGGTAATAGTTGCCTATATAAGAAAAAGCCCGAAACCCCCTTGGGACTGCTACCTGATGTGCCAAGACTACTTCTGCTCCTGCTTTCCTGTCCTGTCAGCTTAGGACTTCAGTGCCCTGCCTGGTTTGAGCCAGACCCGCTAGCCTGCTGCAAACTCAGACCCAGGTCTGAACCACGTCCCCTAACAGCTGTAGGCTTAACTGAAAGCAGCTTAAGAAGAGTTCCTGCCTTTAACACTCAGATGCCCAACTCCCAGTGGAGTCCAAACCCTAAATAAATCAGTTTTACCCTGTATAAAGCGTATACAGGGTAAACTCATAAATTGTTCGCCCTCTATAACACTGATAGAGAGATATGCACAACTGTCCCGCCCCCCCCAGTATTAATACATACTCTGGGTTAATTAATAAGTAAAAAGTGATTTTATTAAATAGAGAAAGTAGGATTTAAGTGGTTCCAAGTAGTAACAGACAGAACAAAGTGAATTACCAAGCAAAATAAAATAAAACCCGCAAGTCTGTCTAATCAAACTGAATACAGATAAAACCTCACCAGTTGCAGTAAGCTTTCTTTTACAGACTAGTCTCCTTCTAGTCTGGGTCCAGCAATCACTCACATCCCCTGTAGTTACTGTCCTTTGTTCCAGTTTCTTTCAGGTATCCTTGGGGGTGGAGAGGCTCTCTCTTTAGCCAGCTGAAGACAAAATGGAGCGGTATCCCAGGGGTTTAAATAGACTTGCTCTTGTGGATGGAGACCCCCTCCTCTCTCCTATGCAAAGTCCAGATACAAAATAGAGTGATACATGCATACAAATAGGATTAATAGATTCAGTAGATCGTAACCTCTACAGAGATATATTACATGGCATATGTAGCATAAATCACATTCTAGTTATGTCATATATACATTCATAAGTATATTTCCATAAAGCCTTATGGGGGGCACCGTCACAGTGACCAGATACAAGTGTGAACAATTGGAAAAGGGGTTGTGGGTAATAGGTGCCTATATAAGAAAAAGCCCTGAATATATTGGGACTGTAACTATAAAATCAGGACATAAAAGGGAAAAAAAACCCCCCCCCCCCCCCCCAACAAAAAAAGAAGAGAAAAGGAGAAAAAAACTCCTCCCCCCCCCCCCTCCTCTTTCCT